GATGCACATCTGCAAGCAAAGTGCAAGATCTTAACGTGTGGACCGTTTAGTACAAACTAGCCATCCGTCATGTTGCCTGTTCCACGTTCAGTTCACAATCCAACTAGCAATTTGTTCAATTCACATAATTAAGAGGTCAAATTTAAATGAAACCTGCAAATGGTTTGAAACCCTCTCATCACAGTGTGTCATAATTCAAGCAAAATGAACCAGCACAACAAACCGTTTTGTTGGGCGGGTATGTTGGCTTCTGTGCTCGACGAGCCGGTAGGGGTGCCAGTGTTGGATGTCTTGATTTGTGGTGGAATTTTCTTTAGAGATGCACGCGCAACCCTTAGGTAGTCCACTGAGGGAACGAATCGTTTAACTGCTTCGCCCGCGCTGTCAGACCTGGAATCCGGTGGGCAGATTTGTTGCTAAATTTCAAGATGATACTCTTACCAACCACAAATTCTTATGCTGGAGTCAACAATCTCGCTGGGCTCACGCGGACCATAATTTTGTCTTGGAACCAGAACAAGAAAAATGACTCACCTCTGCCAACGAGGAAATACATGGCGGCAGCAATCCAGACGCTGTTCCGGGTACAGTCTCAAATACTTCGACGACGTCTTCCCGCGTCGAATTGGGTCCAGGTGTCGATGCTTCCATGCTGTGTGGTTCTTTAGGAGACGAATGTCTTCAGCTGTGTTGAAGTTTGTTTAAATTAAGTGTGTGAGCGTATTTTCCTGCGATATACAAAATGCATACTATTAGTGCCAAATTGATGAATATTCATTAAAATTAATATGAATTTATAAGATTATAATAATTTTCTGTATATTATGGGTGATTAGTTGAATGTCCGCCATCTATGCATATTTAGATTCAATTGTTGCCGAAAATTCTGATTCGTCTTTGATTCCATTTTATGAATTTGGAAGTCGAAATTTCGTTGGTTTGCTTTTAACTGCCAGTTAAAATGAAACAAGGTTTTTTATGGTACTTACCACACAATTAATATCTGCGTCTGCACTTAGAAACTATAAAGATGCGATATGCTTTTTTAAAACATTTTTGAGCTTTTAAAAACACAACGTATTGCCATGTGATGGGTTGGAAATCAAATTAGCGTATATCCTGGTAAATCAGAGTTTCTTGGTTTTTAAGCAGGCTGTAACCAGCCGCTAATTAGTAAAATGCGGACAGCGTACACTTTGCCGATGTGCAGCAATTCTACATATTTCAAAAATTTTTATAATAATAAACATGTCTATGACAGAATAAATTCGACCAGATTTAAGCACACCAAAATTTAATGTAGATAACGCATGTCAACTTAAAGGTAGTTTAAGGTAGATGCGCCAAGCAGATATTAAATGGTTACACTTTTTTCCAATCTTGATTATTTGGTACAGGGAACTTTCAAAATAGAATATTTTAAAAAATACAAGCATTTTAAACCAAGCGATGACAATGTCTTCACGTAAAACGCAATTAATTGCATACATAAATATATTTAGTGTACCCCAAGACTCCAGTGTAATTTACCGTCTTCACCGATCTGCGAAAAATATGTGCATGCCCCTGGATGTTCAAATCGCAAGGAAAGTTAAATAAAGTTTCCCGCGTCTAATCTATAACGTATCCTTTGGGCGCAAACCTGAAGGGTTATTTCTGTTAGCACGTTCCTCTGAGCTAGTCACGTCTTTTAATGCAAGCACCCAGGCATAAAGGAGTAGACAAATAGGAGGAAAGCAATGCTTCCGCAAGAAAATCAAAATGCCTAGAGCTTAGGTAAATGGTAAGATTAATAAGAGAAATAATGTTGGAAGATGATAAGGTAAGGACTTCTCTTAAAATCACGATCGTATTTTGAGGAAGGTTGGGTGGCGAAAAGGAATGGAAGGACTAAGAACATTCCAGACTGGCGTGCGCTAGTGGAATGCGTTATACGAGTACCAATTGAGTAAACAGGCATCAGTATATGTAAAATTTAATATTTGGCCATTTATAGACTAATGATTTAAATTGTAACTTGTTTCAATATGTATTTTAAAAATATTAATATATTCATGTTTTAATGAGTTCTGGCAAGTGATGATTGTGTAAGGTCGAACGTTCACGATCTTGTAAACGGCGCCACCTTAAATGATGAATGATGTTCTTTGTCACTCCAACTTCGATCAAATAAAAAGCGGCAATGAGGTGTCTGGGACGGTCACATCGCCATGTTGCGTTTTTGTAAAGAACCTCGAAACTGATGAAGTTCATCATTTACTTCAAATCGATCCACAAATACAATTTCAAGATCTATTAATCAAATACTGCAGAAATCAGTCATTGAATGTCAAACAATACGTTTTCCTCATGCCATGTGAAGGTGATGCCCTGGATAAAACTCATTCTTGGAAAATAGCGTCTCCGTCCGCCAGATTACTCGAATGTATTTCCAAGACCAAAGATTGTCCGTTCTCTCTCCCCTTTGAAAGTGAAGAAGAACACAAAATCTATCTTCAGTGCGTTCCAAAACACGATGTCCACCGGTTTGTATCATGGAATAAATGCCTCTCAACCAAATATTCTGGAGCGCCAAAGAACGAATCAGGCCCTTGTTCGGAAACTGATACTAAGTGTTCCCGTAAGGTAAGTATGACAATGACATATACTTATTTTTATTTTCACGCATTATATTTTAATGGAGTCAAGGGTTTGATTTGATATTGGCCGTAATAGAAGATGCATATATGCGTATTTTTGCATCAAATAGGGTGATGAAACAAGAGGCAAATTTTTTTAAAAATATGTGTGAAATAAGTTTTTAATTGCAGAAAAAGCGACAAGCTCCCCTCCCGCCAAAAGTGATTAGTGGCAATAATGATCCAGTAGCGCACGATAATGCGGAACCCTCAGAACACGAGAGATTTAAATCAGCCAGCAATCCAGCGGATCCTGAAAGCAACAACGTGACTGCCAAAAAGGGCTCTTCTTTCAGTGATATGATACTAAAGTGGTATCAGTCAGGTACGTCGAGTTGTTTTTGATTAGCAAAATTGTATTTAATTTAGGATATGGGATTGCCTAGAAACAAGTCTCCGATCGAGTTTATTCCATCCACTTCCAAGCGAAATGCAGATTAAATTTGATATCTGAATTATGTGAATTTAACAAATTGCTAGTTAGATTGTGAACTGAACGTGGTACAGGCAACATGACGGATGGCTAGTTTGTACTAAACGGTCCACACGTTAAGATCTTGCACTTTGCTTGCAGATGTGCATCCGCCTGTCAGGCAAAAATCGATACAGACTGCAACTCCATCCGCATTCTCCGACGTCAGCCACCACACCCACACACTCACCTCAGTCGGCACCAGTCCTGTTGGGAGCTTGGACAGGTCTTTTGTCTCCTCGACATTCACTGGCAGTCTAACCATCGAGAGGGGCACCTACGACGCCGACTCGACAGACTGCACAGAGTGTAAGTCTAAATCCACTGACGCTTGCATGCACTTGCTAAATTACTATCACTCATCATGATTGGTTTCACTTTAGTAGGGAGGTGCACACGAGGTTTGCTGAACCTGAGGTGAAGATCATGCAGGCTAGATTATTGTGCAGTCAAATTTAGAGTTATTTGTGAGACTTGAATTCCGGAATCACCTGACCCAAATCCTAGTGTCCGGTAAGCAGAGCAAATTGTGAATGAGCCTAATATCGAAATGCGCGGTCAGTAGATAATGCCTTGTACGTTTGACCCTCCGTCCTATGCATTTTAAGCCTATTAAAAGAAGCTTCTTGCAATTTCACAAAAGCCAGCACCATTGCGAAAACCTCTGCTGCAGTGTACGGTCAACGCATTGAAAGCGAATTGACTGGCAAATGAGATGTCGACGCTGCAAATCCTAATAGTTAGTCCCTAAACTGTGCAATTTATCATTGGTGAACAGGTTGGAGAGTTGAATCAAGACTGCGCATTTGCTTCTCACCAAAGGCGTTCAGTGAAGTTTGCTCGAAACGAATTCACGATGAGGTCCGTGATTTTTGTGCGTTGTAGGCTATGAGCCTGTCCAAAACTCAAGTCCATCTCCGCCCAGTCTACGTCCACCAGATCCGAACTTCACAGAAGGTGGGTTTCTTGAGTTGCTTGGCTCCAAAATGCCATGCATCCAGTTCAAACTGTCTCACTACGGTTGTCCTAACTGTTGCCAATATCAACGCTAGTTTTAACTTCGATTGCCTGACTCGTTTAAATGCACCCTTTCACTTGCTTTGGAATTTGCGATGTCAAATCTCCAGACACCGGCTTGGTGACGAGTGTGTGCTGATTATGCTGAGTAGTGTCTAGCAAATGTGCCAGGAGTTTACTCCGCTGCGTTAATAAGTGAATTGGTTGGAATCTGCGTCGAGATAAATTCAGCACTGATGCACCTCTTGAATGCACGCACCTCTTTGCGAATGGTGTGGAAACAGCGTGTTTGGATGGAGATTATTTCGTGGGTGTTGGATTATATCGTGAAGCTCAAATAACGGCATTTGCGATGCCCTATTAATTCTGAACGCTGATTGGTGTTTTTTTGCGTTTCGGAGAATCACACGTTTGTGGTGAAACTGTGCTACGTGACGCCGTAGGATGTGCAGAATTGTAGATGCGGTGACGACTGTGACACCAACCAACCAACCAACCAACCAACCAAAACATTATCGGCATATCACACGGGTTCGTTAGCGCACTACGCTCATGTCGATCGCGTCGTCGTTGGGCCAACCACAGACAGTCATTTATTGGTTGACAAAGCCATGAAGGCGAGGTTTATCGCAGGCAATCAAGTCCTCGAAAACACGTTACATGGGCACTTAGGTGGGCTCAGTCGAGAGTCGTCAGCGGATTATCAGACGTGTGTTGCTGTTGCAGCATGGCTGACCTGATTAATTCACCGGCGTGGAGCATGTGCACTAGATGATGTCTCACCTTTGACGTCTGTGGGTGCAAGTGGTCAGCGTCTCAATTTGCGAGCCACGCACGTAGGCGTGACTGTGCTGGAGTCGTGGAATGTTGCCGCCGGGGGTGAACCACACTCACCGCATTACCCACTTGCTTAGTGACACGTGGCTGGCCTCCAATTAAATTGTAGACACTCAGAATGGGTGCTGGCAATGTTACCACTAAAGCAGAAGTCGGGGTGAGTTAATGCAACGCTAATTGTTTCGCGAGCTTGGAGAATGCAGTAGAGGGCATGAGCAGTCACCCATGCTGGTAGTTGCCTAATCTGTGCATCGGCAATTCTCACACACTAGATGTGAAGAAACTTGAATGTAACTGGTGACATCTTTTGCTTTGAAAGTGTTGACGCATGGACCCACTACGACGGGCGGAGACGTCGTCAAAGAAGCTGAGAATATGCCCGGAACTGCATCTGGATTGTTGTCGTCACGTGTCTTCACGTTGGCGGAGGTGAGTCATGTCTTGTTCTTGTGTCAAGACGTAATTGTGGTCCACGTGTGCTCAGCGAATTTACTGGCTGCAGCATAGACGTGTTGTGGTGTGTGAGTGTAAGATGTTTCGCCTTACATCTTAAATTTTAGCGACAAATCAGTTCACCAGATATCAAGTCTCTCAATGCGTGCGAGGCGGTTGAGAGATTTGTTCCATCTGCAGACTACTTGAAAGATGCACGAGCCACGCTGAAGAAGATCCCATCACGGAGCAAGTCTCCCACCATTCTCAGCCATGCCAGCTTGTGGGGCATGGAGGCCACCACATCCTCCCAGCAAAACGGTTTGTTGAGCTGCTCCATTTTGCTTGTATTAAGACACACTGTTGTGACGGTGTTCCATCGTGCTTGCCTTAACCACCTCGCCCCGTCTGCTTGTAGACGCCCGCGAATCGGTGGACTGGAGTAGTCGGTTCTGGTCGCCGGAGAAGGCACCAAGCACGATGAGCTTCATGATACCCAAGTGAGGACACTGGCGACGCGCGCGTGCCTTCTGCTTAACGGAATTGTGACCTTTCAAACACACTCTTTGCTGACATTTTCTACAAAGTCGTAGTAGTGCTTGGTGTGAACAGGCGTGCTATATTTCTACCACGGAATTTACTTTCTAACTCATTCAATAATGTTAGTTGTTACCACGGGGATACACGTGTGTGTTCTCATTTGTCATTGTTTTTCGTCTTTTCTGATTGGTCAAAATTGCAACTTTTGATCGGTAGTTTCTCGTCAAAATTTGTCAAATGCTTTATATGACATAGTGGATGCGCTAAATTTTGAAATCATTCTATCTTTAGAAATCAACGATGTTGGTCAGCACTCAAATAATACCAGTAAACGCTGACCCTAGTTTTTTTCAAAAACATCTCCAAGTCAATTTTCACATTGTGAAACAATCGATGCGTGTAGTGTGAAATTTGTGTGCACCGACATTGTGTTTAAACCAATGGAATTCGTTCTGGTGTATTCGTAGTAAACTAAGACAGTAGAAATTTATTTGATATTTTTGAGGCTAATTAAAATGTGCCTAAAAAGACCTCCCATTGGTGGAATAGCCTGTTAACTGGCGAATTTAAATCGAGCCTTTTTATAATTTGCCAATCACCGTAAAAGTGCGTACACGAAGATACGCTCCTAACTATAGTGACACTGAAACTATGGCAGTAGCAATGCTATTTCCTGTTCCAAAATCTGTGCATTCCAAATCGATTCGTCCTTTTGAAACACTTGCAGAATTACGGTCTGGAATTGTTTTATTTAATCGTTGGACATAGAGAAGAATGCTGGATCATTGGGCGGATGTAAATAGTCGATGAACAGCCATGATTTTCAACACACCGCATCTACTCGCCTTTATTACACGTCCCCTGAAACTCCAGCTGACGAATTCTGCTCAAGGTCCCTGCAGCCGCCAACTGAACCTGAGTAGCGCTGGACCCCGAGACCTCGATGAGGATGCTGCAGATGTTGGCTTCCCATATCTTGGCCACATTGGCTGGCACGTGACTCAGGCCGTAGAGCGCACGCACAGCCACGTTGCGCAGCTCGTGGTTGTCCGATCTGGCGTTCTCGGCCAGCAGCGGAACACAGTTAGCCTCGCCAAGGAACTGGGCGTTCTTGCCGTAGTAGGAGCACGCAGAAATGGTCCGCGAGACGCTAATCTTCAGGGCGTCGGTGTAGGCCCATTCAAGGATCCGCGAGAGGCCCTCGATCACGCCGAGGTCGGACATGATGGCGAGGGTGTTGCTGTCGCGAGCCATCTGCGCGATGAGGTCCAAGGCCGCGATCTGGGTCGCCTCGTCTGTGGCCATCGTGGAGACGAATGCGACCACGACAGACGTGGACGTCACCAACGGCTTGATCAGACGCCGGACGTCGTCGGAGTACCTCAGGCACGTTTCGATCGTCTGCAGGGCCTCGCGCCGCGCTTCACCCGCCTCAGTGTTGACGTAGGCGAAGAGCAGACGAAGCCCACCGAAGCCCACAAACTGTTCGCGCAGCTTCTTGTTTTGCAGCAGCACACGCAACGAGATGCACACAGCAGGAATCAGGTCGATGATGGCCAAACGGAGCAGCACGATCCACGGTTTGACGCCGTGCGGCGATCTAGCGATGTTTTTCCGCACAACCGGCAGTTGAGCTACCAGGGAAAGAGCGAACAGGCAGTGCAGAACAACCTTCTCCGCGCGATCCAGGCCGTTGAGTTTGGCGGAGGCGGTGGTGGCAGGCCGTCGAAACGGACCAAACAGACGCGGCAGTTCCACCACGAGGCGCATCAGGTCACCGATTAGGCGCTTCTCGTGGTAGATTTTCACGTTCTCCTCGGACAGCGAGGTCTTCCAAATTAGCTCCGTCAGTCCAACCAGGAAGGTCTCGTGCGCAACGTTCACGGCTTGGGCACGTTCGCGCGCCTCCGCACTCAGCTCCTCTTGTGGACTCTTGAACACGCAGGTCTTGTTTATGACGATGCTCACCCTGGAATGAGGGCTGGGAGTCCGAAGTTCACTGCGATCCTGAAGTCGCAGGAGGGAGTTCACAAAGCCCTCTTCGTCGAACGCCTGTCCACGCACCATAAATGCCATCCGAATGTTCTCCAGCGCACCCTTCGGATTCCGAACCTCCCAGCGCAGAAATCGAACTATAACGTCGAGACCATTCATTTTGCGGATTTCATCTCGAATTGCCTGTTCCTCTGCGCACTGGGACAGCGTGAAGGTGCACGGCAATTTGACGGACAGGTGCGAAGTGCTCAAGCACTCCAGGAGGTGTGGAAGGATGCCTTCAGTCAGAATCGCTATTCTAAAGTACTCATCCACACAGCAGGCTTGAAGGGTGGACATCACGGAACCAAGGACGTCGGAGTGCGCCAATGGGATGAGAGTCGTGAACACGGAAACCATCCCAGCCTGCTGCAGGGCCAAACGACCCTCGGGATTCTTGGACAGTGCGCACAACACAACCCCGAGGATTCTCAGCAGGCTGTCGGTCTGGCGTCGCTTGGATTCGGCCAGTTTCTCCAGATTACGCAACTTCGCTTTCAGCGTCTTTTCTGGCGCCGTGTTGAACGCTATCAGCATTCGAATTCGCCGCTCGTAGTCGGTGTGCAGGGCCGCAATCTTCTTGGTATTTTCGTCCAAAAGACAGACAATCGGTTTTATGGCGTTCATTTTGGCCAGTAGCATTCGAGCCTTCTTGAGGATGCAAAGATTGCCAATTATTCGGCCGGCCGCTCTTTTCATCTGAATGTTCGGATCGTAGAGGTTATTGAGCAGGAGTTTGACGCCTCCCAAGTGAACAATGAGTCGAGCGAAGTACGCGAACGAGGACACCTTGTCAAGGACGCGCATCGCAGCGATTTGGACAGGTGGATCATCGACGGAGAGCAGGTTCAGCAGCAGCGTCGTGCACTGCGAAACATCGAATGCCTGCGCTACGTCCTTCGATCGAAAGTTCATGTGTCGAATGTAGATGAGAGTAATGAGAGTGCCCTGTCGATTGGTGGCCATGATGTAGCGGATGTACTTGAGGAATTGCAGGTACGTGTAGGAGATCCGCGATTTACCGCTGTTCAGGAGAATGGACTCGGCGAAGTCCATGCGCTTGACCTCCTCGTCGTCCTCTGAAGTTTCAGAATCATCGTCCTCCTCTGCGTCCTCACCTTCCCCCTCGCCTCTGTCAGCATTGCCCCCCTTTTTACCGATCGTCATTGCCTGCTTTCTATTGGTCCGGCGTTTTCGCCGTTCTGCAACTCTACGATCACACGAAACCACATCGTGGAAGTCACCCATTGCTGTTCTGATTCTAATTTGCTCCGCAATCGCTTGCGCGTCGCGTATTAGTGGTCCTCGGGGGCGTGGCGAAATGTCCCGTTTCAAGAGAGTGTCGACTATCTCGTGGACATTCAGCGGTTGATTTGGAGCGTCATCTGATTTCGTCTCCTGATGAATGGGATCGTCAGTAAAGACGCTCATCTTTGCTCAATTGAAGCCAGCGCTCATTCAAGCAGCACAGAAAATAAATCGATAATGCTAGCAAAAATTCGAATTAAGCGCGAACTGACACATTGGAAGGTCCGACTATGTTTACACCAATTTTTGAATGATAATTTTCGTTTACAGCAAGGAAAGGGAATGTTTTGTAAAAAGGAGGAAAATTTGTAATTATGCAAATTCGATTGTTTCGCAATGACGTTTTGTTAGCTTTTTGCCAATTACGCGACACCCAGCCGATAGGACTCTGTCGTATTGTCGCCCAACCGAAAACCATGATGCAGGACCGGTAGAAGGTTTATGAAGAATGCATCTGCCCTGACTACACAACACATCTGAGACTAGTAGTTTGTGGATTGACTAACTAACGAGCAAAAGACGGCGTCATTGCGTTACGACACTATGGCTAATTATTTTCAATCGCACTCCTACAATCTCACGCGTGGATGAACAAAAAAAACCACCCGATTCTCCCCAACGGTCAACCACCTCGCATTGGGACCATCCTACTCGGTATTTTGGATGCGATTTCGTTCACGGGCAAAACCGAGGCATACCACAAAACTTGGAAGAGTTTAAGACGATGCCTTGCAATCTATAACAAGCGAAACGAGCATGTGAAATTGTCGCAACAGCAGACAACACCACGACAGGGAGACACACGACAATCACTCCGTCTGGGCATTCAGCAACATCGAGACTCGGCTTCAGAAATGACATGAGTTTTCCACATCACCTGCTAACAATACGAACTCAAAAATAGGTACAATCTCTGTTTCAGGATTTCAGATGAAAGCACGGTTACGAAAGACGACACAATGCGGAAGGGGGGAGGGAAGTCAAAGCTGATTGGCTGGATGTTGCCATCACACGGCCCGGAATGCGACTGGTTCATCTAAAAGAGGAAAAGTGAGATAGTGCGTTACTTTCGACAAATATCAATCAATGCGTTATTTTGGTCCCATGAGGTGACTGGCTATCCAACCGAAAATGGCCTCCATGGGTAAATGACGAATATTCAAGACCGTTACCTGATTGGTGGCTCGTTATGAGCGAATTTCAAATGCTTTCGCGTCCAATCCGTCGTGCACACCACTCTCGAGTCTGCCGCAAACATCCTATTGGCTAATTCCAACTATTATCATGCCACCGCGAATTTTCATTGGCTGTCCAAATGGTACACGAATTAGTATTGATGGAGGTTACTCAATAGCCAAAATTAATATAGATACAAAAAAAATTTGATTAATTTGCAAACCCAGACTTGTAGCAAACCTACCTCGAGGACTTTGCAGATTGGAAATCTACAAGAGACAGTGCATGACAGATCAGGGTTAATGCCGGGTTAAGGGCAATGCTTGCGCGCGCAAGCTACTTACTGCCTAGCTTCAGGAAACCGTTTACCCATTGGTTCATCACTCGACGTCCATGGTCGGCAGCAAGATTACCAAATCTACAAAGGCCAACCACATTACTACGGTAAAGTAAAGGGTCAAATAATAAATTGGAAATGTCGGGGAAAATGGGTCTTCGTTTTCTATTTTCGGAAAGTTCTACACACCAATCTGTGGGTTGATATGGGCCGCCTACATTCTATTGGTTCAACACACTCCGAATGTGATCGGCTTCCGTAGTCGCTCGAGAGGCATATAACTAGGCCCACCAATCACCGACTAGAAACTCCGAGTTATAGCGGTCGCAACAACTACTTGATTGGCTATCTAAAATTTACAATTTCTCAGAATGGAGCTGGAAAAGACAACGCAGATTTGGCCTTTTTCCAACAAGTAGCAAGTTAAACTGAAAGTGTGCTTACTGTTTTAGATTGGTCACGATTTGATCAGTTGCATCTGACGAGGGAAAATGTTTGCCGGGATGAAGTAAGGGAGAAGAGATGGCGTAGATCTTCTCTGCTGCCTCCTTAGCAACGATATTCGCCTAGAGGAAAGTAAAACCAATCAGAAGTAAACGTACACTAACTCACGATTGGCCGTCGCATTTTATTGGATGCCCCCAAGGTCAAGTCCGAACTTGATACTTCAAGGGGGAAGCAGGCAAATTTTGCACAATTTAAAATACAGAGGTGCCTGCGCGAACCGTCGACACAACCTGACCCGTCAAAGCGGCTGCAAGCAATTTCAGCCAATTGGATGCTTCATGGTCATGTCAGAATTGAATATTTTAAATGGAAACAGGTAAATTTGGCGCAAATTTAACGTTCAGAGGGGCCTAGGGGAACAGTTGGTCACTGTTTCGAAGCTGTTGAGTGTCGTGAATCGTGTTTATTCACACCCCCTAATCCGGTCGCTCCATCCTCCGACACAGGGTTCCTCTTTTCGCAGCATGTCGCCAGCCGCGCGGATCCTCAACTCCTCCCTCATTCACACGGATATTTATCTTGGAGTATCCTCACACCTAGGTCTCGATGTTAGCGCAGATATGACTCACACATCCGAGGTATAAATACACACGCGCAAACCCCACACACGGCATAACAACAGCAACATGGTTGAGCTCAGAAGTAAACGATTGTTTCCACGTCCTCCCCGATCTTTTTTCATCATCGCGGGTATCAGGCAAGCGTAACCGGGCCAGAGCTAATTTCGTGGCCCCGGCGTGGTTTAAGACCACATGCTGGGGCCTACAACAAGAGCAACCATATCCAATTGGGTGCTTCAAGGTCGTGTCCTGATTGGATGACACAATATCATGACCGACTTTTACATATCAAGGAAAACACAGGCCAATTTAGCGATTCTAACGTACAGAGGTGCCTGGGGCAACTGTTGATACATTATGATTCCCGTTGGCCTCGGTGTCCAAGAGGCTGAGAGCATCGTTAGCCAATTGGCTAGCGATCGAGGAGACGACCAATTGGCTGCGCCAGGCGAGGAAGGCGTGAGTTGTGCGCAGACAGGCGATGTAGCTCAGGTTGAAATCAGCCAACGGGCCGCCTTAGGCACATAACAGAATGCAAAAAAATTAATTTGCTCGCATTTCTTTAATAAGGTTTTTAAACTCAGAAAAAGGTCAGGGATGCGATCGATCGTTTGCTAGGCAGTCGTTTATTCAAATGATTTTGGAGCACGCAGGAAAGAGACGTTTTCACGCGGCTGATATGATGGCTTTAATCCGGCCAGAATGGAAGAGTTCAAACCAACAGACGACTTACCCCTGCCTTCAGCTGTCAGCAGCAAAGACTTGACGTAGACGCCAAACTGGGCTCGTATCCACCTCTCCAAGTCGGCTAATTCTGGAAACACAAATGAGGAGACACGGTATTTCATCACCGCAGCAAGAAATGGAACAAGAACCACATCCACCTTCCAGTGGAACTCACACATACCGGGGAATCTGGAAAGCACTTCAGCGCAGGCCTGAGCATCGAGGGGTTCACGCGAACCACCTTCCTCCACATTCACCTCCAGCGACGGGGCTGGAAGGGGATCTGACTGCTGGAGGGCTCGTGAGGCGTACCACAGCTCCGCGGTGTGCACCAGGTGGTCGATGAAGACGCGGTCGAGGCGGCTAAGTTGAGCTGCGCGTGCCAGCGGAATCGGCAGAGATCGCAGTTTGCTTGACGCCTCCTCCGACGGCGGACACAGCCGAATTGGCGGCGGTTGCCGGTTCTGGAAATGTGTGTTTGATTTTGTGTTGAAAAAGGAGAAGTTGGGACATGGGTGATAGTCGCGAATTCACCCACCATTAGCTTCGATAACACACCGCTGGATCGGTTTGTCATGGACGGCTTCGCGTCTTCGGCGGCCTCCACTGCATCGGGGTCTCCGGTGGCTTCTGAAGGCGCCTCGTTCTCCACGTCACCGCCTCCCGGCACCCTACCAATCACGTGACCGCTGGCAGCGGGTAGAGGCAGTGTCTGGACGATGACCTCGGCGAGTCGGGTGTTCTGACTTAAGAGGGGGTTGGTGGTGCCACAAAGGAACCCACGAACACGCCGTCCGGCTGCCAGCGTGTTCGTCGCCAACTCGTCCGTCCCGACCTTCCGGGATTCTAACAGCATGTCCAGCGCGTGGAGAGGAACGTAGGGCAGAAATAAGTAAGACTAAGCAGGGGAGGAGGCGAAAAAGAGAATGGAGGGGTTACAGGCAAGGATACGAGAATCGGGAGTTCGTGAAGGACTCCCACTGGCAAAAATGGGCCAAAACGAGCACCAATCTCACCCGGGAAAAGATTGGCAGCGGCAGACCCCAGTCGTCGGTGGGGAAGGCCAGGTTAAGGACGCAGCCGTCATCTTCCAGGGGTGGCAGAGCGGCGTAGGGGTCAACATGGGCGGAGACGGTGGACTGCGCGGGGTTCGGTGTGGGGACGGTGTTGGTCTGGGGGGCAATTGGGGTCTCGTTGGTGCCCCTAACGTGAGCCGACAGAGCCGACGCTGTCTTGGTGACGCTTGACCATAAATTGGAGGCTGCGGAACGCAATGCAGCAACTCGGGTCTGCTGGTGCACTACGCAATTTAAAAAAAAGAATTTAGTCAACAAACTTAAACAAAACGTGAATTTGGGGTGGGCGTACTTGAAAGCTGACTGACCAATGAAATTGCAGGAATGTGGGTTACAAAACAATCAATCGCGAATCTTTCGAGGCAGATATGAGCATGGAAAACACGATGGAATTTCGAGTAAGCAAAAAAGTTGGCTTACGAGGTTCGGGTAAGGTCGCAGTAGTTGTGGGCCGCATGTCCTCGTCCTAAAATGGAGAAATTAATTCAAACAGAAAAATTTTTCCGGGTTTAAATTAGATGAGCGCTAAGAATGCGAGGTCACAGGTGCAAATAAAAGCTGAGAAACAATTACTCACCACGAAACCGGAGTTTAAACCAGCACCATCAACATCATCAGTTCCCGCGGATGCACTGGTAGCGGCACTGGAGTCCATCTCACCAACGTGACCTTGAGAAAGGGTCGCGAGTGGCCAACAGGCCCTCTGACGCACCCACGTGTCGTCTACTTCCGTGCAGGCTGCTAGACCACCGTCCAACATGCCTAGAAGGAAAAAGTAAATTTGTATTCGACAGACCGAGCCCAGCCAATCATAACACACACAGGTCTGGATTTATATTATTGGACGAACTATGTAACCAATCATCACATCAGTAAACTACAGCCTATGTTCTTATTGGTTGAACCAGCAGACCGGGTCTAACCTATCAACGCAATTTCCAGCAACAAAACTAACCTTTATTTTTTTTTTAAAAAATGTGTTTACGGCATGCTGCAGCACCGAAATCACTTTTTTGCCGAATCCAAGACACGCCATTACCTGGTATCAAACTGACCAGTGTCAGGAGCCACGTGGACAGACAGTTCACTGTGGTGTCACATGCGAAGAGGATCTTGCGCTCCAAAAGGAGCAGTTTCAGGAGAACGAGGGCGTCGCGCTGGTACGCGCGCACAAACGACACTGCACTGAGTCCCCGAAGCAGTTCGGCTAGAATAGATTGCACAGACGACAGGTGAATTCCATTGGCTGATTCCATTTCCAGATTGCACCACGCCAAAAAGTAACCGACAATGTGCATGCACTCAATCACTCGCTGCCTCGTATTCGGGTGTTAACAGTGCGCGTGTAAGCACAAGCTCAAGTAGCCTGGATAGGGTAATCATTTAAAGCACGAGGGAACCACGTAAAAAAATCTTTTTTTTTTACACTAGCGCCGATTTCGCTTAGTGCCTAAATTGCTAGCGCTTCGAATTGTGCGACGCGTTGGTGCTTAGGGCATCTCAATGAAATTGCCCGTTTAGTCTTCGTTGCCACGACAACTGAGCTACGAGTAGAGGGTCTGAGCAAATAGAAGAAACGCATTAAAGAGAACGTATAAATGATGAACTAACTACAAAACGAGGGGTGTGAAGATTGCAAAAAAACAATAACCTAACGCTTTCAGAGATTTTCAAAGGCGAACTGATGCCGATCTCTGAACAAATTACCACAAATGAGAAACATTGGTTACAAGTAAATCGACTTTAGGAGAGTAACGGGCGTTAACACAACCAGACGGGCGTACTTTCGTACAATGGTGACGTGGAGGCTTTGTCAACTGCGGTCTGAATGTCTGCGAAACCACTTCGAAGGATTTCGTAGCCCCTTTCAGTTGAGGAGGCTGCGACAAATGCGTCAGTGAGATCGTTGAGTTGTGTGGAAATAAGTCCGAACAGAGCCTGTAAAAAAGCCAAGGCCATCAAGGCGGTTTTTAAATCTGTAGCATGCGGAGCCTGCTTTAAATCAAAGTGCACTCTGTCGTCATCATCACCACCACCACCGTCAAGCTGTAACGATGCTAAGCACAAATACCCGCAGTCGTTGTGAACTCAGTGAACGTTGAGCGAGAACTTACCGCCGATGATAGGAAAACGACGCTCTTTTGGACGGAATTACGAGTCAAATCTGGTGTCTTGCTGGAGTACTCCTAGGTCAAGTAAACAGATGTAATAATTGCGCAAAAAGTGGGATTTAAGGAAAGGTGAGACGACAGACATACATTGACATCGATTTGGCGGTAGCAAGCAACACCGAAGAGGGTGGTGGGCTTTGGATCCAATGAGGGGACAGTAAAAAATATGCAATCTAAGAGGAAGGTGATGTAGAGAACAAACGCACGAACCCTTGTCAAAATTGTGAGCACCATCTGGTAGTGCAGTGGGCGGAATGTGGACCCACTGTGGGGGCAGATCAAGGCCAGATTCGAGCTCAGGATAGACGTACTCTACCTGTAGAGAAGATGCTCAAAGGGCCCAGCTTCGTACTTACCGATGTGCCTTTTTTATGATGAAAACCAACCACAAGGACATAACTACTCATAGCATTGGAATCTACAATGGAAAAATTGTGGCAATCGACGTGACTGATATAAAAAAATTAACCTCAACGTGCCAGGAGGACAAGTAAAGCAAAATTATAGCAAAAAACTATAGATATGAGTGTGATCTGCGTGAAATTGACGCTTACAGAAGAAAATACGAAAAATTATCTTCGCATTTACAAATTCTACATTTTGAAGATCGTGTAATAAATAAAGTTAGCATATTTAAATAGAAGAGTAGTTCCAGCTTAATTTACAGGCATCTTAAACAATATTCTAATAGTGCACAAAACAGAGTAATGACCAGAAGTACAATCAGCAATAATTAGTAGTCACCCCAATGCTTCTTGAGACAACCAAAAGCAGTGAACAAGATGTAAATCGGAAAAGTTAAAGGTGCTCGAGTAACAAACTAGTGGGATGTCACAGTGGATGTCGAAAGTAATCAAACAAACCTTATCTAGGATTTCTGCGTGCATTGAAAAAAGGAAAGAACCAGACTACAAGTGTTAATACATCATTTGCATACCGCATCCTCTTAGTTTTCGAAAATATACACGACAATTTGTAAAGGTCAACTACACGTAATCATCTCTCACCATAACAGAAAACAGTTAAATGGTATTGACCAAGGTAAGACCAAAAGCTGACAGCCTTCAGAAATCACAAAATAGCAAATAACCCAAGGTATCTTAAACAAAACAGACTAGGTGATGTGACTCAAATAGGTATTTTTAAGTAAGAAAGCTATTTGAATCCATAATTAAGACATTTATGTACTCTCAAAGCTCTTTTTGAATAACCTCTTGAAAAAAGTTTTTAAACTCTCAATATATTGAAAGGAAATAGTCAATCGAAATCCCATTTCTAATTTCGAGTAATTTCTGGTCGTGAGCAATGCAAATTGCAATGTTATAACGATAGATTACTAGTTGCTGCCTATATCTGGCGTTTTCAGGCGACTTATTAGTGACGAATACCTTTTTCATTAACAACAAAAATGAATAGTTAAAGTCAAATTTGGCCTGCTTCCTCACCAATTAACAACTTCTATTTTACATATGTTGTAAATTGTGCATATCTTAACCATGTTAATTTTAGATACCATGTTTTTAAGGTACATTAAAAGTGATGGCGCTATCCCTTAAATAAACCCATCTGATTTTTTTAGGGAAAAAATTTGACCCACTTACGCTGGAATAAAAAAATTGGCCTGCGTGGTTTTTCCTCTGCTTCATTTATTGCAACCCAGTTTACAAGCAACGCTGATATCAATTTCCATTAGTTGAAAATTTTGGAAAAATTGCAACTAATTTTGACGACAAATGCCAATGTGTTACACACGCCTCCCATCATGCCTTCCGGCTGGTAATTTTGTTCGCAACTGCTTATGCAAACTTCTCCTTTATTGTTTCTCCATTCCGTTCTATTTGAGTGCACTTGTAATTTTTGTCTATATTACACGTCTACGGCCTCAGCTTCTGTTTTTTCGACCTGAAAATTTTTTGCTGTTTGAATTAGACCATATTTGTTGCCAATCAAATCCATCTCAGGTCTTTTAAGATAAGTGGCCAGAATCTACGGCTCATTTTACGATTTTAATGTCGTAAATCGGAACACAGATCTTAAACCATTCCTGTACAGACATTAGAGCCTATTCATTAAGATAGAAATTCCCACACGTAATCCACTCTAATTTCACGAACGCCAAACATAATTTGTCAAAGCAATCCTTGGTTCTTTTTTGGTGTTTTCTTCAAACCCAACTACAAATCCTATTCATCTGTAGTAACGATTCGAATTTGAGAGTGTATTGCCACTGATTCGTTGAAAATTTTGCTTCAACACGCGGTTTAAACCAAGTGAGTTTACTACACACCTACTCAATCTATAAGTAGCAATGTTCCAATTAATAAAATAAACCGCCATTTTGCAAAACACAAGGAATCTTATTAGTACAATTCCATTTTTTTACCAACGGCTCTTGACCGCCTTTTCAACCCTCATAAGACATTTTGGTCAGAATTTCTATATTTTCTCCGTTGCCGATTACGTGATTTGTGAATTTCTATTAAATGAAACCGTCCTGGACCTCCTACGAAATAATTGACTCCAGACGTTATCCCGCAAACCGATGCACTTAAACAACATCAACAAGGTTCTTTCTACTGCAAATTGGTGGCTTTTGCTGGGCGCGGCTCAGTGGTTGTCGGGGCAGGATTTTATTGCCTGGCGGATCAGCGTCATTTGGCATACGGGCAAGATTCGTCGTTGTGAAATTCTGTAGCACACCTCCTTGTTATGTTGGAAGTCACCAACATAACGGACTTGGTGAAATTAAAATAGCGAAACGGTAGGATAGCAAAGTTTAATTGGTCTTATTGTGAATCGTGTTTATTCACATCCCTCATTCCGGTCGTTCCACCTCCCCTTTTCGCAGCATGTCGCCAGCCGCGCGAATCCTCAACTCCCCCCTCATTCACACGAATATTTACCCCGGATTATCCTCACACCTTGGTATCGATGTTAACGCATGCATGACTTACACATCCGAGGTATAAATACACACGTGCAAACCCCACACACGACACCAACGTGGTTAAGCTCTGAGGCAAATTGTTATGTCCACGTCCTCTCCGATCTTTTTCTTCATTGCGGGTATGAGGCAAGCGTAATCGGGCCAGGGTTAATTCCGTGGCCCCGGCGTGGTTTAGGACCGCATGCTGGGGCCCACAGTAACCTAAGAGTTGCTAAAAAATCGGGTTCAACTGGTCGGTGTCGCGACCACCGCCATTGTCATCACCTGATCGAAGTACACAAAAACAGCATGTTTTTTTTTTCGAAATTTCACTACAATCTGGAGAAACAGATACTGCACATACCTGTGAACACTAAGAATTAGTACGTTTGTTGGTCATTCTCTTCAAACGGCACATTTTGGGGCGCAGTGGCTCCTGACACTGGTCAGTTTAACACCAGGTAATGACGTGTCCCCGATTTCGCAGAGAAAGTGGTTTCGGTGCTGCAGCATACCGTAAACAAGCATTTTTAAATAATCGTTATTTTGGCCGCATCGGAAACTAGCTTTCTCCTTAGCTACGGTATTCCGGAACACGAAGCGAGCGTGTCTTGTTTACCTGCAAACACTCCTTACATTCGACAAGAAATCGTTACAAGCAGCTTAACAACACATCAATGGAAGAGTTGTAATCTCGCAATGCAATGCCATTCTTCCTACGTCAAAGAAAGCGTAGTACAATTTTGGACTAATTTTACGTACAACATTTTGAAATTTAACACTAACCAAAACCGACTTAGACTATTGGTTAAATATGGAAAAAATGCGACCCATTTCCAAGTTCTGATACATCCCTTCTTTGATAAAGGATAATTCTTCTCAGCTTTGTAAATAATTGCCGTGAGGTTTAGCCTTTTCAGAGTGACGAGGAAGATTTTCCGTTTTACACAGAGACAAACTTTATACGAGGAAAATTTACTTTGAATAGGCCACGTCGATAGAAACAACAAACGGAGAGAAGCGAATCACTTTTCTGAAAATTCTAACTATCTACAACTCGGAACCTCGAAGATTTCAAAAAAACCTCCAAAACGACGTGCTGTTTCACGGCAGTGTTAAGCTTGCACAAGATAATTTTGTCACTCTAGTGCTAAAAACGCCAAATTTAGCCATAACCGTTAGCAGGGGAACCATCACTTCATTAAATTACGCAACACCTGAAATCGCCACATTTTGTCTGATGTTAAAGAGATGTCTGCTTACAAGATTTGCACACAGCACCAAAGACGTCACACGGAAACCGCTAACGACAAGTGATGGTGACATCGAGCCCACTGGTCCCATTGAGTTATGGGTGTGGCACATCACATGACGAATGCCGAGGTGTACTGCAGGAGTACACATCGACAAATCTTACCCGGATGCCAAATGAAGCTGATGTGCCGCGACAAGCACTGAGCCAAGCCCAACAAAAACCACCAATTTGCGTTAGAAAGCACCTTGCTGATGTTGCTGTTGTTTAAACGCATCGGTTGGCGGGATATTGCGTCGTTTAACCAGAGTGCCAACCACCCCACCTACGACCACGCACCCAACAACGCAAAAAAACTAACACCAAACGCACATTGAAATGACTTTAGAGTCTATTGCTTCCTCTCTCTCTGTCTCTCAAAATTTTAACAAATCGGAAATCAACTAGAAAATAGCTCTTCAAAATATCCGGGTCGGTAGAGGCGCGTGAACGTTCAAAAGATATCATCGATAAATTGCTAAAAAAAGAAAAAAAAACCAGCTAATATATGGCTTAGGAAGTAGCCTGGAGCAGAAGAATGCCTGACAAGCAACAAGAGATTCTACCTAGTATGCATGCTGCCTTCTTTAGAGGATACTACGCCCAATTTTCTACATTCTTAACTGATTTTGAAGGAGGTCCCAGAAAAGGCAATAGCAAGCACGAAGCCGCTTACAGTGTGAGGTGGAGTGTGGACATTGATGTCATCGAAGAGGTTTTTGAGGTCTTCGAAGTCTCGCTTATTCACAAAGTTCCCACAGCCATAGATGGTCAAGTCCTTCAGCACCGGGAACCAACATCTGTAGTCTCCATTGGTTTCCACCAGCAGAGCCGGAAGGAATTCGGTGTACAGGGAAACCGACAGTTCCCTAAGGTTGGGAAAACCGCGGGGGAAGTTGTCTTTCACGTACCACGAGAAGTGACGACGCCGATCCCGGGCACGGCAACTGTCTCGGTCGCGCAGCGTCAGATGGGTGGCGTTGGCGGCGATTTTGAGGAGGGTGGCAAGCGGTGTACTGTTCATTTGCAGGTTTGGCACGAACAGAACGTCTAGACGTCGAAGGGCTGGACAGGCGACGACAGGGTTCGGACACCAAGGCGAGGCGTCCGCGTCATCGTTGGAGTACGGCAGGCGGGGAGTCTGCTTCACTGTCGCTGAAATCCTCTCTAGCGAGGCGAAAGCGATTTGGTTGTCACCGGAGAACAGTCGCACCAAGTCGGTGATGTGGAGATCGAAGGTACTCAGATCCATGGAGACGAGATTAGAGCCGGTTAAATAGAGGTGACAGACCAGTTCATAAAACAGTACGAACCCGGGTACATCCCACACTATCAGGACGGACTGCTCCTCGCGATTGGTGAGTTGGCGTACGATCTTCGCGCGACTACGTTCCGAACCTCTGGCTAGTAGGATGGGCGTCGGTGCGAGTCCACGCCACGTGGGGAAGACTTGGAAGCAACTCCACCTGTCGATAATCGACAGGAAGGGCAGTATACGCTGTCCAATCACGCGCTGACTGAGGACTCTCTGCTACAGAAGCGACAAAACACAGTGGAGAATCGCGTTGCGGCTTGAGCATGTGAGGACAAATCGGACAACAGGCATCAACAATTCTACTGAATGTCTGAACTACGCGACACTTGGAATTCGCGCTTCGACATGGCGTGAACTCTGGTCATCTAAGGCATGTTCATTGCTCGAACACTTTCTGCCGTCCCATGACTGGACATCAACAAAGCATTGATAGCCATTAAAACGACGAGCAAACGCTTCGGATGGCATCGTTTGTAACCCAAACAACTATGTGTCCAGAACTTCATTTAAAAAAAACAATTTGCCCCCTTCAGTGGATCGAAAATCGATAATTCACTGTACTGATACCATGATTAAAGGCAATAAATGTAAGGACGAAATCATAGTAAATAAAGCGTTGTTAGGGGTTACGCAGTAGCGGATTTGGGTGTGTGTTACGTGTAAGGACATAGCACTGGAACATGTGCCGATTCCTAAAGAATTAGTTGGCAAATTTAGCTAATTTGACATAATTGAAGGCGCAGTGTGGAAATTCAATGCAGATTCCAATGCAAACGTGAAGAGGCGTCTAGCAATGTGTAATTCCCACTACAACTCACCACACAAACTGCACATGCATGCAATCACTCCTATACTCAAAAGTAACACCTATTTTATCATACTCAGACACGATATAACTAAGCAACAATCGTATTCCTATTATCAAATATTTTAGCTTTAAACACGCGTTAGACGATCTCATTTAACGGCTTGAAGTGACCACAGATAAGCACAAGCCCCCTTAATCGACTTAATCAGAGTGTAAAGCGACAAAAAACGAATGGCTTGCAAATTACCTCCACCGGCACATCTTCCGAGGGCATCGCAGCGGACAAGAGAGAAAGCGACTACAATCGTGCGGCGACGAATCCGAAGCCGGTTGTTACTGGCCAATCAGAAGCGAGCAGTTTGCCTGGATGCAGCCAATGCACGTCGCCACAATCACAACGACCGCAAGCACGCGCGCACCGCATCCGAAACCCCGATTCAGACATCATCGCAGTAACAGGAGATAAATCTCCTTTTTAACGGCGGCTTATCGCACTGCGAACCACCACGATCACGGCCTTTGTTAACTCACTTATCTGCAAATCCACCGGTGTGGCAATCACTCGAACAGTCTTCAACCAACCTATCAGAGACGAGCAGTGCGCCTGGATGTAGCCAATGAGCGGCGCGGCAAATACAAGTCGCACGTGCGCACTAGCACTGGTGGTGGGGTGTAGATCTGCTAGCGCCACAATCAATCACACAGAGAACACCCACCACCTCACACCCTCACGATCGATAAACCCTCAAAAACCCGCACAAATTGGGAGAAATTGAACCCACTCAGAGGTATATTTGTGTGCATAAAATACGAAAAGTACTATACAGTCCAATCTCAGGCATCACTCTAGTCGAGCAACGCGAACCTGCCCTGTGGCCCTCGCCCGGAGGAGGTCTCGCCGGAAGTTGGCTTTGTTCAGCTTCCTCGCCTGTTGACGCTCCTTCTTTTGCAGTTTTATAGCCGCCTTGCGAGCTCGCTTCTCCTCGGCTGTCTCGCCCCTCGTGCGACGGTACTCCAACGGCTTGGAGTGATCACCGTCGCTACTGCTCGCGTCACTCACGTCCACGTCGACGGCCGGGCTCTGTTGGGCCACTGCTCTCTTCCTTGGCACCGGCAGAACTTCTGGTTGCCTTAGGTTACAGCTCGGTGTCGACGCTACGAACACGAAGAGGGTGCGGACACGAAGGAAAGTTTAGGCAATCGACACGGCGCTTCGGTGTGCTTACCTTGCTTAGAAGTGATGTCGCCAATGTTGGGTTTTTCGGGGCCTATCCACTGCTTCAGGGGGTCAGTAGTGTCGTCAGGTTCGGGCATCTCCTGAACGCACTGCAAGGTGGCCACTTTGGCGGCAGAATCGAGGCGCTCCCATTCACTGCCTATTGGGCGGCTACAAAATGCCGTGAATAAGATACACACTACTTCTCAATATTTAGTAGACGTTTTAAAAAATCCAGTTAACTCACTGTTTGGCAATCATAACTTCGTCAGCAGCCACGGCAGACTGCAGGCTCTCACTCATAACTGAAGCCCCAGAGACCATTGAACGTCCGTCAAAACCACTTCTGGCTTTGGTCCTCTGCATCAACTAAAAAGGCACAGGTTCGGACGGTGACAAAGAGTTTAACACTAACTAGAATCATACGAGCAGATCTAGAAGTACCCTGTCGAACTGCTTCTCAAGAAGCTCCTCCTCTTCTGTCAAAGGTCTCCCCTTCCGCATTGACGAGTCGACGGTGGATGGCGCAGACTGCTCCATGCCTTCAGGGGCTTCTGGAGCGTCAGTTGACTCGGAACCCCAAAGGAAACGCTCCATCATGCGGACCTTGTGAAGGGGAAGATTGGAAATTGACGGCATCTGTGGTGGTGGTGATGGTGGCGGAGGGACGATGAATGGAGGCTGGTCGTCGTCGTCCATGTGAACTGGTTTACCACCTGCAAGCTCCACGAAGTTGTCCTCCAACTCGCCCACCTCGGCAATCAACTCGTCGTCTGACGGCATCTCGAAATCAGGATCAAGGTCGTCTGTAACAACTGGTTCAACTACCGGAGGAACGTAGTTCTCAGGCAGAGGTGTATTTTCTTCACCAACAAGAACCTCAAATATGCGAGAGTCACATTTAGCTATTAATACAAGTACATTCACTGTCCATGAAAATTTTGCATGTTTTCGCCTAGAGCTTCCATTGAATGACAAGTCACGTGGTTGTTTATCATGTACCTAGAAGGGACTGAACGAGATGTTATTAAACTATCACCCCCAATAAGATTATTAAGACAGATTAAAAACATCACAAGGGGCATTACATTACCGTGTTAACAACAGCACATAGCGGTGATACAAGGCACATAATAGAGTTGACAGGGCACTAGCACATAGGTGAGAAAAAATCAGTGGGGGAGACGCGAAGGTGAGAAATCAAGTAAATCAACCAGGTGTGAACTGTTAAAACGGTGACGGCAATTGTTTGAGACATCTAAGTGGTAGGTTGATAGATCAGCTTACTGAAACATAATAAAGGTAGTGAACTCCACCGATAAATGTTTACGTTGACATTGACAAGATGCTGAAGTTTCAGCCGAACATGACCAGACCAGATTATATCTGTTTACATGAGAACGAGTGTTTGAAAAGAAATTTGCAAATCTGAAGTAAAATAGATTTGATGATGCCTTAGTTTATTTCATCTTAAAACAGTAAAATATCAAAGATGACCTTTAGCAACACGATGGATGAAAGACCAGATAATTAAATATCATGTGAAATTCGTTTGGATAAATCTACTGCCATTTGCAAAAACAAAAAGATTAACAACCTTGAATAAAAAACCTGAAACATTATATTCGTTCGCAACTTACGAAATTTGGATCCTCCACGAATTCCTTCATAGATTTCATGTGTTTAAGATAATCATAACCATCATCGAAAAAAACTCCATAATTGAACCATTCAGGAACATCTGTCATGAGTCTATTCTCAACAGGGTTGTGAACAGACACATTATTTGTTGGCTTTGTCGTTTGAGAGG